ATTGGCCATGAGCCAAGAGCAGGACAGAGAACAGTTAATTCAGAAGCTTACTTGTGACAAAGAAGAAGCCATTCAGACTGCTCTGAAGGAATTCAAAATGGAAAGAGAGGCTGTGGAGAAAGAATTACTAGAAAAAGTTCAACATCTTGAGACTCAGTTAGCAAAATGGTAAGTTTTACAGTTTGAAATTATACAACAAATATATTGTTATATTAAGTTGATTTAATTGATTAATGTTCATATATTGTGTATGATCATTATGTCTTTATATTTACTATTTTTACCTTAAATAGCAAATTGGGGATATGTTCATTGAGTAGTAGTTGTTGTCAAGTTGGAACTGAGGCTTCCTCTGGTTTTCAGAATCAGTATATCACTCCTTTTAAGTTCAAGTAGATATAATGTATTTGTCTCTTGATTTTAATGCATACCCTTTCTTTCACCACCATTATCATATTTTTGGCTAATCAGAACAAAACCAATGCCATTGCAGTTGAATTCATTTTACCTCATTGTGACTATATAAACCAAAAACCAAAACCCACTGCCATCAAGTCTGTTTTAGTTTAAAGCAACCCTCTACCAAGTCTCCAAGGTTGTAAACTTTTATGTTGAAAGACTGATGTATTTCTCCTAAGGAGCAGCTGGTGAATTTGAAACACCAGAGAATTGAAGCCTTTGAGTTAGCAGGGTGAAGCACTGTGGGTCGGGCCATGAGACTCCTTAAACTCATAGCTGACCACCTATTGAGTTTCTGAGGCTGTAAGTCCTACTTAAGGGAGATTGCCCATCTCTCTCCCAGGCAGCCACCAGGGAGTTGTAACCTTTCAGTTTGCAGTACCAGCCCCTTAGAGGCTAGACCACAGTAGCTCTGTATGACTACATGAAAATGTTATTAGGTGCTGTAGAGTTGAGTACGACTCATAACAACCCTGTGATTAAAAGATATGAACCTTTTTCTATCCTGTGCCATCTCCACATTTCATGACACACTAGAGCCCACTGTGGCAATCACCATGTCATTTCACCTGGTTAAAGATCTTCCTCTTCTTTTGCTGACCCTCCACCCTTCCCTCTTCAAGGAATAGCTCCTTCTAGCAACATTCCCAAAGTATGTGAGGTGAAACCTAACCATTCTTGCCTCCAAAGAACACTCTGGCTGCACCCTTTCCAAGACATACCTTGGTGCTCTTTTCTGACACTACAGCTCAAAGGCATCAATAATTCTTCTGTTATCCTTATTTATTGTCCAGCTCTCAGATGCAAAGTAAGTGTTTGGAAAGAGAAACCGCGAATTAGACACACCTTAGTCCTCAAACTGACATCATTACTCTACAGTAATTTGGAGAGGTCGCTAACTGCTGATAAGCAGCATCATGATGGATGAAGAGGATATTGAACTTTCAGCAGCTTCATCTTGCTTGGATCCACAGTTAGCATCCTTGGTACCAACAGTCAGGGAACAAAAGGAGACACTTTGCACTGAGAAAATCTGCATTTAGAGTAGTAGCCCTATAGTATTCCCACAGGAAGCACTCACTGGTGACCTAGTGGTAAGGAGTTGTACTACCAACTCAAAAGGCAGAGAGATCAAATCTATCAGCTACTTTACAATAGAAGGATGGGCAGTCTCTTGTGATTTACAGCTTCTGAAAATCCACTGGAGGGTCATCTGTGAGTTAGATCTGAATCAGTTGGGCATAGCAACAGTATTCCCAAGGCTGTAAAGCTTTACAAAAGCAAACTACCATATTTTTCTCTCATAGAGCAACTGGTAAGTTCTTTATTTTTAATATCCTTTCTCAGATGTGATCAAGTTTGTAGGGCTCTGCTAACTCAAAAGGTGTCACTTCTCTGGCAGTTTGAATTTTCTTAGTGATTTGAATCCCCCAGCAATTTCATAGCAACTGGGACAATTCCTACCATGTGATTTACAGCCTCTGAAAACCCATTGAAGGATCAACTAAGAGTTAATTTTTGTTGTATGTGCCGTCAAGTTGCCTGTGACTTATAGCTACCCTGTGCACAACAGCCCTAAACCCTTCTCTGTCCCATGCAAATCTTACTGTCTTCAACACTCCTATCTCCATTACCCGAGTCACTGAATCAGTCCACCTCATCGAGGGTCTTCCTCTCCTGCACTGTCCCTCCACCATCCGAAGCATGACATCCCTCTCCAATGACTGATCCCACCTTGCAACATATCCAACGTGTATCAGATAAAGCTTCAGAATTCTTGCCTCCAAGGAGAAGTCTGGCTTCACTCTCTCCAGGACGAACTTGTTTGTTCCCCTAGCAGTCCATGGTATATTCAGTATTCTTCTCCAGGACCACAGCTCAAAGGCATCAATTTACCTTCTCTCTTCCCTAGTCATTGTCCAGCTTTCTGAAACATAGCAAGTAATTGCAAAGACCATGACCTGTATCAGGTACACCTTAGTCTCCAGACTGACATCCTTGTTTTTCAGTACTTCAGAGAGGTCTCTGACAGCAGACTTTACCAGTGCAATTTGTCTTTTAATTTCCTGGCAGCTGGTACCAAGAGTGTTCATTGTAGAGCCAAGCAAACTGAAGCTGTCAACAATTTCATTCTCATCACCATCCATTATGATGGTTCCTATCAGCCCAGTGATAAGGATCTTTGTTTTCTTGATGTTGAGCTTAAGTCCGTATTGAAATCTACAGTCCTTGACCTTGTGCAACAAGTGCTTCAGGTCCTCCTCAGTTTCAGCAAGCAGGGTTGTGTCATCTGCATAAAGCAGATTGTTGTTGAGTCTACGTCCAATCCTGATGCCACATTTTTCCTCATAGAGCCCAGCCTCCCAAATAATGTGCTCCACAGATAGATTGAAAAGAACGGAGATAAGACACATCCTTGGCACAAACCTTTCTCAGTTTTGAACCATGCAGTATTTTCTTGCTCTGTTCTGATGACTGCCTCTTAGTCCAAGTATGTTGTTGTTGTTATGTGCCATCAAGTCGTTTTCCACTCATAGCGACACTATGTACAAGAACCCTAATTGCTGTCCTATCCTGTGCCAGCCTTACTGTCTCAAACACATTCATTCCCCCCACTCCACTCACAGAATCGATCCATCTCATCGAGGGTCTTCCTCTACTACGCCGTCCCTCCACTTTCCCAAACATGATGTCCCTCTCCAAGGACCAGTCCCTCTTTGTAACATGCCCAAAGTATTTCAGGCAAAGCTTCAGAATCCTTGACTCCAGGGAACATTCTGGCTTCACCCTCTCCAGGACAAACCTGTTTGTTCTCCTAGCAGTCCATGGTATATTCAAAACTCTTCTCCGGCACCACAACTCAAAGGCATCAATTCTCTTTCTAGCATCCCTATTCATTGTCCAACTCTCCGATGCATGACACGTAGTTGCAGAGACTATAGCCTGGATCAGGCACACCTTAGTCTCCAGCCTGATGTTGTTGCACTTCAGTACTCTTGAGAGGTCCCTCACAGCTGACTTTCCCAGTGCAATTCGTCTCCTGATTTCCTGGCTTCTGTTACCAAGAGTGTTGACTGTGGAGCCAAGCAAACTAAAATGGTTAACTATCTTAATCTCTTCACCATCCATACTGATGCTGCCAGTTGGCCCAGTGGTAGGTTTTGCATAATCACAATCGAGTTTTATCAGATTCCCATTCTTCTCAGAATCAGCCACAGTTACTGTGATCTACACAGTCAAATGCATTTGCATAGTCAATGAAACACAGGTAGACATTCCACTGGTACTCTCTGCTTACAGCCAAGTTCTACCTGACGTTGACCATAATAGCCGTAGTACCACGGCCAATTCCTTTTGGTACAATGACTCTGTATACTCTTTTCATCTTTTAATGCTTCCTGCATCATTCAATATTCTGCCCAAAGATCCTTAATTATTGTGTGGGGGGGGGCGGATTGTATACCAATGAAGGAATTTTTCTTTTACTTTTCAAAGAGAAGAGGGAATTGGCAGGGTGGGGCAGGGAGAAAAATGCAACAATGAATGATTGGAAATCCAAAATCTCTGTAAATGTTCATTAAAATTAATTAAAAAATGTATTGCAACTCAAGACCTGAATTCTTACTCAGCAGAAATGAGAGGAAAAAAAGGATCCATTCTGGTTTTTTAATACAATTTTTACTTTTAATTCTAATTTTAATAAAATTTACAGAAAAGTTAGATTTTCTTTCATTCATTGTTGCACATTTTACCCCTTTACACCCCTCTCTCATTCTCACTTTTTTTTTTCAATATCCATTAATTACCTCCCTCCCCCAAGTCCTCTTTGCAATGTACTGCTTATTCTGGGCTGTTGATGTATGTATAATGCCTAATCATATATTCCTTTTAAACAGTTCTTTTCCTTCATCTGTTCCAATGCAGTATCCATTATTTGTCTCTTCTTATTTTCTCCCAAACCCAATGTTAGTCCTATTTTATAAAAATGATGTTAATGCAGTATTTGTCTTTTTTTGTGACTGACATATTTCACTCACCATAATGTCCTCAAGGGTCACCCATGTTGTGTAATATTTTATGAGTTTCTAGTTTTTCAGTGCTGTGTAATATTATGTGATTATACAATACTTTTTCTATGTATTCATTTGTTGATGGATACTTGGGTTATGTCCATCTGTTTTTCTATTGTGAATAGTGCAGCTATAAACATGGTGTGTATATATCTGCTTGGGTGGCAGTTACAATTTCTTTAGGGTATATTCCTAGGAGTATAATTGCTGAGCCAAATGTTATTTCTATTGGCAAAATTTTAAGAGAGCACCTTACTGCCTTCCATAGTGTTACACTCCCACCGGCAGTGAATAAGATTTTCAGTCTCTACACAACCTTGTCAGTATTTGTTGTTTGCTGCTTTGCTGAGCTTTGCTGTTGTTACTGGGGTGAGATGGATACCTCATAGTTGTTTTTATTTACATCTCTCTGAGAGCTAGGGATTTTGAACATTTCTTCACGTGTGTGTTCGCCATCTGAATGTCTTTGGTAAAGAGTCTTTTCATATCCTGTGTCCATTTTGTGATTGGACTGTTTACCTTTTTCCCGTTGAGGTGCTAGAATATTCTGTAGATTTTAGATATGAGATCCTTATCAGGTATGTCATTACCAAATATTTTTTCCTATTCTGTGGCTTTCCTTTTTACCCTGTTGAAGTGTTTTGATGTGCATATGGATTTGATTCCTGGAAGGTCCCATTCATCTATTCTCTTCTGGTTGTAGGTTCCATTCCCTTTTAATATCAGAGTTGTCAGGATCCTCAGGCTCAATTTATTGCTCATAGTTGACCTCCAGAGAGGGTTTAGAGTAAATCAAGTGGGAGTTGATTGCCCATCTTTGTTTCTTAAAGACAATAGTAGATTCAGACTACCTGCCTTTGGGTTGACAGTGTAACTCTTTACCCACTAGTCCACTAAAGTTCCTTTCAGAGTCCTGTTGTCATGTGCTAAGTCAAAACCAATCCATAGCTGACCTTTTAGCGGGTTTTCACAAGGGAGGAGATTGTCTATCCTTATCCAGTGGAGTAATTTGTAGGTTCAAACTGTGTCTCTTTGGATTCACAGCTGAACTTCTTAACCAGTAGGCCACCAGTGCTCCCTGTCAGAATCCTAGGTAATTTAAAATAATGTGGCAGTCAGTTACATAGAATAAATTCTATGATACTTCGGTGGATTATGCAAATGAAACTCCTGTTCCTATCTAAGTTTAGGAGTTGATTGTTATTCAAGTTAGAAGATTTCTGTTCTGTGCTTTTATTGTCAAAAGGGTTTTTTGTTTTTGTTTTAATAACTGTGAATCTGCACATACCCTGTACTAATCATAATGTAAACAGTATATCAGTTTTTGAGTACATATCAAGGCTTAAGTATATATATCAGAGATGGTGAAGGTAGCACAGAATAGGACAGGATTCAGAGCTGGACATTGACAAAGAATGATAGAAAAACTGATGCCTTTGATTTTTTTCTGGAGAAGAGAGTTGAATATACCATGGACTACTAGAATAAGCAGGTTTGTCCTGGAGAGAGTGCAATCAGGCTGCTCCTTGGAGGCAAGGACTTTGAAGCTTTGTATGACCTATTTTGGGGCATATTGCAAGGAGAATCCAGTCCTTGGAGAGGGACATTATTCTTGGAAGGGTGGTGGGATAGCACAGGAGAGGAAGACCCAGGATGAGATGGACTGACTCACTCTGTTACTGGGGTACTGAGAATTAAGTGTGTCAGAGACCATGAGGTTGGCTCAAGATTAGAGAAGGCTTCAGAGTTGTTGTGCATAGGGTTGCTGAGTTGCAGTCCACTTCAGTGGCACATAACAACAACATGAGCCTGATGGCCTCGTGGCAAAAAGCTGCACTGCACGTGTTTTAAGGCCACCATCTCACTGAGGGAGAAGAATGGGCAATCTCCTCCTATGCAGTTACTCTCTCTGAAAACCCATGGGAGGATCAGCTATGCATGGAGTCCGACTCTATCGTAAACAATAGTAACTTGCGTCATAATTAATTTGATGGCACTGAACAGTAACACCATAAACTTATTTCTACTGAATATTATTATATAAAATATTATGAGTTATATATTATGTAATATAATTCTATATTATATATAATTATTATATAATGGAATATTCTTATCATATGACTATTATATAATAATATTATACTGAATTTTTGGGGTGTTCCGAGACAGCAATATCTGGTATCCTGTGTGACAGTTATCTTCTCTGTCTACCTCTTACAGTCCAGTCTAATCCTGAAATAAGCAAACACTTAAGCAGTCCAAAGGTGAAGATGATAAATACCGAACAGATTGTACCACCCTGTTTCGTGTCAGTATTTTTTCCAGAGTACTTGTGAATGGCCAGAGAAGCAGCTCCCTACAAACTATCAACTGTGAGAAAGGGTATCCCAAACCTAGTCCTTAAATTCTTGGCTGCTGACAGAACAGTCTGTTGTGCAAACTCACGGTGGTTCAGTAGTTGGAAAGCTCTGGCTATGTGTTCTATTCAAGATTACAGCATAGGAAACCCAGTCATAGAGGTCACTGCGAGTCAAAACCAATTCTGTGGGAGGAAGATCTTTTCTTAAAGATAACCACCTTGAAAACAGGATAGGTTAGTTCTCTTTTACAGGGTCATTTGAGTCAGAACTGACTTTTGATGGCAGTGGATTATTTTTTCATCCTGAGAATTTTAGTAACCTCACTCAAAACCATTGCCATAGAGGTGGAGTCAATTCATATTTGAGCTTACATTTGATTTTCAAGGCTGTAAATGCCTGGGAGGAGATTGCCCATCTTTCTCCTGAGCAGGTATTAGTGGATCCTGAACTCCAGTGGACTAGATCACCAGAACTCTTCAGTAATATCTTTATTGTTGTTTTTGATATGTGGCATCAAATAGACTACAACTCATAGGGACCCTGTAAACCTTGCGGTATCTTGTGCGTCCTCACCATCTACAACACACTGAAGCCTATTGCAGTTACTGTGTCCATTGATCTTCTTGTGTGCCTTCCTCTCTCCACCTATCCACTTCTACAAGGACCAGCCTCTTCTAACAACAAAGTGTGTTAGATAGTTTCACTGGCCTGGCCTCCAAAGAACTCTGGTTTCACCTTCTCCAGAATAGACTTATTTGCTCTCTTGAAAGTTTATGAGATTCTATACTCTTAATATCACACCTCTAAGGCATTGTTGACTTTTCTGTCATTCATAGACATGGTCCAACTTTCAGGTGTTTAGCAAGTAATTAATTGACAATATAACTCTTTGATCATCTGCAGAATTTCCTGATGTTAGATTTCCTTCCTCCATGCAACAAATTCTGTAGGCTAGGAAATTATAGAGAATTAAGGAAATATTTAAATATTCCCACTTGATTGTAAGATGGGTCCTGATTTAAAAAGCGTTATAATATGGTTTAAAATAAAATAAATGCAGTTATTTAACTTTGTAACCAAAATAGTTTGGTGTAAGGTACATTGCTTTAACTTTACTGTTTGTTTCCTTTACTTTAACATGGTTTACCATCTTTGATCCAGTTGTGTTGAAAAATGCATAAGATTGATGATTAAAGTATTGATTACAGAAGTTAAACATTAATAGAATGTTTTCCTTTCTTATCATTTGGCTAAGATGGTGTGAAATTACTGTAAATTCAAGGTTGAGGAGTAAAGTTTCATTTTTTTGTTGTTAAGTGTCGTCAAGTCATAGGCAACTCGTAGCAATCCTATGAACGAAAGACCTGAAAACTTGTATAACTTTCATCCTTTCTCCAGATTCACAGGGTTTCCAGAGACAAGCTATTTCAGAAGTGGATGCCATTCCTGCTTCCAAGCTTGTTTTAAACGATCAAAAACCAAAACAAAACAAACCAGACATATATACAAGTACACACATAACACACACACGTACCACCTGGGGATCATGTTTCAAAATGTAGATTCAGATTTAGTATATCTGAGGCAGAAATGCAAACTGTCAGCAAAGGTTGTTTGAGGCCCTGGCTATGGGAACACTGCCGTGGTCACAAATTAGGGAAAAATGAGTGCATATATAAAACATCAGTCCAGTGTGTTTCACACTGGAAATCTGTTCCCTACAAGTTCATTATATCAGGCTCTAAAGCTCTCTAATCATGGAGACGAGTAGTTTAGGATGATTATTTCTGATCTTTGTTGGTCCATAATGAGTAGCACTGCTAACCAAATCCACACCTGCCTTGCAGTATGATTCCACCAGGAGGCACATCTGGAGAAAACGGGCAGTCTCCACTCCATGGTGTTAAGAACTTCAAAAACTTAGTTGAATGGAAATTTACAGAGACTTTGAATTTACATTCATTTATTGTTGCACTTTTCTCCCTGCCCACCCCTTCTCCCTCCCCAGTTCGCTCTTCTCTTTGAAAAGTAAAAGAAAAATTCATTTATTGTTATACAATTCCTCCACCCAAGTCCACTCCACTTCAGCCTTCGTTCTGGTCTCCTATCATGACAATAATACCTAATCACACATGGATTTTTTTCAGTAATAAATATGCACTTATCATTAAACACACACACACACACACACACACACACACACACACACAAAAAAAAAAAAAAAAATCCAAAAACTTATACTCTGTGGCAATGAGTTTTTGGGGCTTTTTCTTTTGAGCTAATAAATCAGACTCTTCAAATATACCTAATACTGTTGAATATATTTTCCTCTCAATGGTCATATGGCTGTAGGAAAAATTATAAACTCTGTGCCATCTAGAAGAGTGTAACAGTTAATGGCTGACCACTGACTCTGTAGGGCTGTAAATCTTTATGTAAATCTTTATACAGCCCATATTTCTCTGTCAGAGTGACTACTAGGTTTGAACCACTGAGCTTTTTGTTAGCAGATTGACACGTTATGGGAAGTATATTGATTTTATTATTGAAAGTGTTATCCTTTACCAATCTGAATTTATTCAGAATTGTATCTAATATAAATTAGATAAGTTGACTACAGAGATCATGTAGTCTGTATTGAACTATGCCCTTGTATTTGTTTCCTTGTTGGTAGGAAGATGAGAGCTCACAGAGAAATGTTTCAATACATTTTATGTAAGATGAATAATCCTTTTTGATGCTTTGAAATTGTAATATATATCTTTGTAGTTAAACAGTTTTAAAATGTTTATATTAATTTTTCAAGTCTTGCAACTGAATCTGTCAGAGATGATTCTTCAAGTTTAGTTTCTGAACTTCAAGAAAAGCTTCAGGAGGAAAAAGCTAAGTTTCTAGAACAACTTGAAGAGCAAGAAAAAAGAAAAAATGAAGAAATGCAAAATGTTCGAACATCTTTGATTGCTGAACAACAGGTGTGTTCCCATTTGAATTTTAATGGTGGTATTCATAAAATAACAGATACTGTAAGTTGTGTTGTGGTATTGGGAAAAGGATACTGACTATCCTGTGGACTTTCAGAAGAATAAACAAATGTCTTGAGGAAAGTGCAACCAAAGGTATTCCTTAGAGCCAAGGGTGGTGAGGCTTTGTCTTCTGATGAATTAACACAGTGACGGTAACAATGGGCTCAAGTGTATTAGAATAGGATGGCATAGGATAGGGCAGGGTTCAGATCATTGTTTCAGGGTCGCTGTCTTACAGTGGACTCGACAGCACTTAACAGTGTAAGTCGTACAGCTCAGCATTTTTCTTATTGAGATGTGGCAAAAATAAGAAATTAAGGGATTGCATTAAAATTAATTAAAAAAGAAGGGTTAATATAATTGAATTTACATTTCTTACTAAAGCTAGCTCATTACAACAAAGAGAGAGAGGAGGGCACCACAAAACTGACAGATGTAGGCCCTGTTTGATGGTGGTTTTGTATTCTGTCTATTGATAACTTTCATTTCTAAAATTAATGTGCATTTATAATTAGTGCATGCATTCAGTATTATCTGATATTTTACCTTTACATAACAACAGTAGCCTTTTAATCTTATACACATTTTATAAATTGATACTGTTGTTGTATACCATACAGTCATAACCAACTCAACTGACCCTCCTGAGAGTTTCAGAGGCAATTTAATTGCATAGCAAGAGATTGCCAATTCCTCAAAGCCTGATTCCTATTACAGAAACAGCAGAGACATTAACAAAGTAGTTAATATACAGTTTATAAACATTAATTTTCTATATAAATAAATGATTACTACAAAATATAAATGAATGGGTGTTTGTTGTAGTTGTTGTTTTGTTGTTGTTGTTTTATTAAATGATTTTCCTGTATCCTTTCTTTGGCTCCGAGGAAAAAACCCAACTCATTGCCGTTGAGTTCAGCTATTTGACTTAAAGCCAACCTTCCAGTGATTTTCTGGTGTTATAAATTTCATAGGACAAGATAGATAGCACATCTTCTTCCCACTAGTGAGTTCAAACTACCACTAAGGAATGGCCTTTAGCTTAGCAGCTCAAGTCCCAACTGACTAGGCTACCAGAGTTCCCTTACCTCTTTGACTACACGATTTAAAACAAATTTGTTAAATTTTTACCTAAAATTACAAACCTGTTGCCATTATTTTTTGCATAATTTGTTGTTCCAACAGCCATAGAACATTTTTTAATATGCCACAATTTTTAATATTCTGTAATTTTTTTGCATTGTGGCCATTTTTGTGAGAGGAGTATCTAATAAAATATGTTCTGTTTGAGGGTCTTTCACACAGAAATTGCCATGATGACCATATTCAAAATTGCAGTCTTCCAAGAAGACTCATGGTAATAAAACTAAATTCAGTAGTATACATTCAATGGGAAACAAAAAGGCATAACTAACAGCTGTTTCTTTTATGAAGGTATGCATGTAACAGGAATAAGGACTGAGGTACTTGGATAAGTTAATTAGCACTCATTCAGGATGTTAGAGGGTTTTTTTTAGTTGGAACCCTTTTAGGGTGGGGAAATTAAACTTAACACAGATCTAGTGCTTTCAGTGCATGATACTACTACATCTGTGCTACCACATCATAAAAATAGGCTTGCTAGGGCAAGTGAGGTGTGTGAATGCTTTGAGCCTCACAGAACTGCAACCAAGTACAACTATAAATAATATTGTAGATAATGCTGTATAAAGTTTACCATTAAGCCGGTGGATAATACTTTCAAAGCATTCAATTAGCCTAGCTCTGGTAGTACTCTAAGCTAGTCACACTGGCAATCACATTTATTGCAGTGCTTGCTACAGGGGAGGAGGCATAAAACCAGTTCTTTTGCTAAAGTAGGACAGAAAGGCTTGGCTTAGATTCTGCATAAAAGTGACAGTGTCAATAGTCTAATGGCAGACACTCTTAAATGAATGTTTTTCCTTCATTCAGTGGTAGTGAAAAAAAAACTCACACCAGACCAACCAGCCTACTACTACTAGTCCACTTGACAGAACTGGAGAAATGAAGCTCTTTAACATTCAGATGGCACTTGACTGTCTTATGATAAGTGAAATCAATACATTACCTTCCACCTTCTCTCCCAAGTGTTGAGCCTTTATACCATCTAAGCCATTTACTTGCTACTCATGTTCAATACCTGTAAATTTTTTCATCATGGTATTTTTAGAGCTAGCATAAATCATCTTGCTCTTTTAAGATGCCCTCTTAGGCATGCAGAATATTAATATTAGATCTTCTTTCTCATACTCTTATGTTTGATATGTGGTGTTGTGCAAACTATACTTCACAGAAGATATGTTGGGGTCATCCCCAGTGTCACCCACCAAGATCTCCTTTCCTTCCTCTACTGTTAACTTGCCTTTTGTCATCACATAAACAGAAGTGAAAGCTTTCTTTTTGTGTAGAAGGTATCCTTACTTTCATATCTATAAAAACTTGGATGAATTCATCAGTCACTGTAACTCCAGAAGCCATAGTGTCCGTAGCTGTGGCTGTTGCAGCGTCTGCAACCATAGAACATTTTGATGGTAAATAGATACTACTAATTAGTAAAATTTTCCTAGGAAATGTTGAGCAATCGATAAGTTAACTTAGGCTATTTCATCCGTGATTATTGCTGTTATATTTCGGTCAGATAAACTTCCCTTTATAACTCCACTCACTACTGTTGAGTGAATTCTGACCCATTCTGATTTCCAATGCTGTGTATCTGGTGTAGTCCTTTTTATAGCCATGAAACCCACTTGGGGGTCAGCTGACCGGATTTGAAATCACTTTGGGAGAAAACTGTTCATTTTTTTTCTCAGAGCTAGTGGTAGATTTGAACTTCTAGAGAGTAGAATTTGGTTAACAGGGCCTGTCACCACTAGAGCTCTTAGATTACAGTTAAAATTGCCAGGTTCTCAGACAGTTAAATACATGAGCTTTTCATTAAGGAATTTTTATGAAAGTTGAGTAACTGAAAATTCAGGAGTAACAAGTTAAGTTGATATAAATCAGAGGTCCAGTAGGTATCGTTATTGTGTACCATTGAATCAGAACCGACCCATAGCTGACTCTCCCAACAGGTTTTCAGAGGCAATCACATGGAAGAAGATTGGCCATTCTTCTCCTACGTAGCAGCTGGGAGATTCAAACCACATGCCTTGAGGATTGCAGTGCAGCTTCTTAACACTAGGCTTTAATATAGTCATGGGAAAATACTTTTGTGATAATAAAATTTACCACATAAACCAAAGGGAAAAAGAAATAAGTCAAAGAAAAAGGATGTAACAACTATGCACTATTAATTCCTTTTTTAAAATGAGCATTCTTTGATCATGAAATATTTTTCTCTTTACACTGTACCTCACATAAAAGTATATGAAGGAAAAAAAAAAGTATATGAAGGAAAAAAAATTTTAACAAAAGTACATGAAGGATTTATTTACTTAATCTTAGTGTCTAATTGTGTGTATACAACGTAAGAAGTTGTTATTATTTGTTCCAGACCAATTTTAACACTGTTTTAACAAGAGAGAAAAAGAGAAAAGAGACTATAATAAATGATCTCAGTGATAAGTTAAAAAGCACAATGCAGCAACAAGAACGAGATAAAGGTTAGTACTATTAGTACTATTTTGTTGTACATTTTTAATTCCTTTTTAAAATTAAAGTTGCATATTTCAGATTATTTTAATAATTTAATAATTTTAATGCTTATTCCTATTTGCTGGCCCTCAGATTTGATAGAATCACTTTCTGAAGACCGAGCTCGTTTGCTTGAGGAAAAGAAAAAACTTGAAGAAGAAGTCAGTAAGTTACGCAGTGGCAGCTTTGTTCCTTCCCCTTATGTAGCTGCTGCCCCAGAGTATTATGGAGCTTGTGCACCTGATCTTCCTGGTGAAACAGAGAAATCCACCATGGATACAGCAGAGGAAGGGAAATTAGAGTCAGCAATGGAGACAAGCATGATGTCTGTACAGTAAGTGTGCCTGTATTTATAGTGCTTAAGGCTATTATACCATAAATAACATGGGGAACATTAACTTTGTGAACTGTTAGCAAGGAGCATCTGACCTCCGCTAATAAATTTTTTTAAATTTATTGTTCGCATTTTCTCCCCATACCCCCTAGTCCATCCTCCCAGTGTACTCCTTGTTCCAGATTGTTGTCATACATGTAATAATGCCTAATCATATATTCCTTTTGGACATTTCCCCCCTCATGCAGTGTTCATTATCTATCCACTCTTTCTCCTTTATCTCCCCACTTCCTCCCCACTCCCCTATCTATCCTGTTTTATAACAGCGGTGGTATGCAGTATTTGTCCATTTTTTACCAAGAAATTTTACTTAGCATAATGTTCTCCAGGCTACCCCATGTTGTGTTATGTTTTACAAGTTCATTGCCTTTCAGTGTTGCATAATATTCTATTGTATGGATGTACTAAACTTTTTCTGTTTATTGGTGGGCATTTGGTTTGCTGCCATCTCTTTGATATTGTGCATAATGCATCAGTAAATATGGGTGTGCATACATCTGTTTGAATTGTGGCTCTGGTTTTTTTAGGGTATATTCCCAGTAGTGGAATTGCTGCGACAGATGGTAGAGAAAGGGCCATACCACCTTCCGTAGTGGCTATATCATTTTATATTCCCTAACAGCAGTGAATAAGAGTTCTAATCTCCCTACAGCCTCATCAGCATTTGTTGGTTTTTGCCCTCTTGAACATTGTTATTGTAATTGGATCACTAACTTTTTAATTGGGAAGAATATTTATCAATAGCAAAAGCCCCCATGATGGTTTTTGGTCTGTTCTGTTTTGGTTTTCATTTTTTATTATTTTGTGTGTGTGTATTGTCAAATCAAATCTGACTCTTACAGGAGATTGTCCCTCCTTCTTCAGCAGAGCATCTAGTGGATTCGAACCGTTCATCTCTGTGATTGCAGTACAGCTTCTTGCCACTAGGCCACCAGAGCTCATAGCCTCCATGATGTTTTAACAACGCTTAACACAAAACCATTTCTCCCACTGCTTTCACTACTTCTTTATTGGATTTGAGAATTCATTGCCTTGAAAACAGTAGGAATTAGGAAGGAATCACTTACAATAAAGAAGTTTCAGAATTAAGACGTTAACAGGTTACTGTTTAGGTCTAGGACCTATGCTGAAAGGGTGGCCTGGATTCTGCCAAGCTCAGAAATGATAAGAAACTCTTATAGCTTTGCCAATTATGTGCCACATCTACTCTTAAAGCAACCCTGAAGTGACTCTCTGGGTCTACAAACTTGGCTGTGCTGGCTGGCAAGTACCCTAAGAAACTCACTTCTCCAGCAACTACTTGTCTTTATCCTCTGTGGCCCAGAGCACACTGCTCTGTCTCCTCTTACTGATAAGGAACCCTAAGGACACAGCTTTCAGACACGTGATCTGTGAACAACCAGGGTGCCAGGATATGGATTACTTAATATGGCTCCTTTAGCCTCAGTCTTTCTCATCATATGGTTGGGTTGGACTTTGCAAATGTTAGATGCTAGAGGCTTGCCACATTGTCCCATATCTCCCAAGTTACAGGGCACAGACCTCTGGACATCCTGGCCTGCTTTAGATGTTCGATGCCAGCTATAATTTCACGATGCCTAAGGACTTCCTGTCACTGCTGATCTAAAAACAAAAGCCATTGCAATTGAATTGACTAACACATACAGAATTTCAGTAGCATGGAATGAGGGAGCTTTGGTGTCAGTCCTTAAGAAGTTGCACTGCAAGGGAGCTCTGGTGGCCTAGTGGCAGGAAGCTGCACTGCAAACTCAGAGGCACATGGTTCTAATCCACCAGATGCTCTGCAGGAGAAGGAGGGGCAATCTCTGTACCAGTCAGATCCGATTTGACGGTACACGCAAAAAATAATAAAATAATAAAAAAAAGAAGTTGCACTGCTAAGTCTGAACCTTGAAGGAGATTTGAATCTAGGAGGAGGTGAATCCAGTGGCCCCTTGGGTGATGGATGGGCAGTCCTTCCATAAAATTACAGTCTCAAAAGCCCACTGGAGGGTCAGCAATAAGTGGGTTCTGTCTTAACAGCAGTGACAGAGGTAAGGTGAAAGATAACTGGCCCATAGGATTTCCACAGCTATCTGGTCACTTCACTTCACTTCTGATTTAGTGGTTCACGCATACTTACTGTAGCACAGGAGAAAGATGCGGTAAGCTGCTGAATCTGGGCATGCCTTCCTTGACTTAGGTCACCTGGCCTATCCAGTGCTCACGTTAGTCATGTCATTAGTACATACCACAAAGTAGTGTGGTCTGGGAGCCTTACATATATGGAGGGCATTTGTTGGAGAAAGTCCAAGTATTTAGAGATTCTGTCTCGGGGTCAAAGGAGAAATACCAGGTGGTAATTAGAAAGCATACCTTGTGCCATTGGGGTGTCAAATGTCATAACATGGAAGACAGTGTTTGGTGGAGCTCGCAGTTTAAAACAGGTTTGAAAGCAGGAGTGGCATCCACTTCCTAAACAATGTGCCTCTAGAAATTCTATGAACTTTGATAAATGACGATAGTCATAGAATGGCTTCAGGCCTTTTGATCATAGGGTTGCTATGAGTCTTGCAATCAACAACAGTAACAGATAGGAATTTATTATAACAAAGCCTTGGAGCAAGGGATGCAGTGAGAAATCCATCCACTCCCACTCTGTTTATAAGTTGTTGTTGTTTCATACTATTGCATCAAAACCCATGCATAGCTGACCCTCCAGTCAGTTTTCAGAGTCAATAAATCCCGTAGGAGAATGCCAGTCTTTATCTTTCGGAGCAGCTGGGGGATTTGAACTGTATTCCTTAAGATTGGCACTGCACCTCCCTACCACTATGCCACAAAAATCCCCATTTTTATTTATAAGAGATGTCCCTGAAGTAAAACATAGAAAGTTTGGAAATTTGAGTATCTCCTCTGAGTATTGGATATGAAATAAAAATTGAAATTGAGAACTTAATCCAAACTAAACTGATATCAGATTTGAAGAATTCATCCATCCTATGCAGTATTAACTGAATTCTTGATTGTTTTTATTCTTGATTTTCTTGATGCACAGTACTCTGTCATGTACACGTTAGAGGAATCAATATGTACAAATTGAGAAGAATATTTATACTGCGTGGCATAAATCAATCATGAAGGACCATTATGGTATAAAACCAGTACAGCAAAGTATTGTGCAGAGAGCTAGAATTGGAGAATAAAAAGGGAGGGACTCACTCTTCCTTTCTCATTCTGAAAGAATTGAAAACCAAATTTAAGCCCCATGTTGCAATATTGAAAGATGCTTTGGGCAATTTATTGAATGACCCAGAAAGCATCAGAAGAAAATGGAGGGAATACACAAAGTCACTGTAACAGAAAGTTTTAATTGACACTGAAAATTTCGGGAAGTACCATATGAACAGGAGCCAGTGGAATTGACGGAGAAAATGAAAGCTGCGTTGAAGGCATTGGCCAAAAATAAGGCCCCAGGAATCAATGGGATATCAGTTGACTTGTTTCCATTAACAAGTGTTAGGTGCAGCCTTGAATGCACTCACCAGTCTGTGCCAAGAAATTTGAAGACAGGCTAGCTGGCCAATGGATAGGAAGAAGTCCATATTTGTTCCCATTCCCAAGAAAGGTGATCAGACTGAGTGTGGAAATTATTGATACTACATGCAAGCAGAAAAGCTGCTGAGGATCATTTAAAAATGGCTAAGAAACTGCCAGAAGTTCAAGCAGGATTTAGAAGTGGTCATGGCACCAGGGATATCATTGCTGGTGCCAGATGGATCCTGGCTAAAAATAGGAATATGAGAAGAATTTCTATTTGTGCTTTATTGACTATGCAAAAGTGTTTGTGTGGATCATGACAAGTTGAGAAGAATGGGAATCCCAGAGCACTTGATTGTGCTAATGTAGAACCTATATCTGGACCAGGAAATTGTTGTGAACAGAGCAGGGAAGCACTGCATTTTTTGGAATAGAGAAGGAAGTGTACCCTTGGTACAAGCATTCAGGAAATGAGGAGATGCATTGCAATGGGGAAATCTGCAGTTAAGAACCTTTCCAAATTATTGAGCAATAGTGATGCTGTTTGAAGACTATGTCTGGTTCAAACCACAGACTTTTTGATTACTTGCTGTGCATCAAGACCTGGACATTGAATAAGGATGTCAGGAAAATAATTGATACCTTGTAGCTGTGGTGTTGAAGAAGACCAATAAACATCCTATGGATAGCCAAGAGAACAAACAGCTAGGTCTTGGAGAAGGGTGCAGCTGGAGTGCTGTTTGGAGGCAAGAATGACATACTTAGGACATGTTGCCAGGAGGTGCTATTAATACCATGGAGAAGGACATGATGCAGGGAAGGGTGGCAGGTCAGTGAAGGAGAGGAAGACCCTCAACCAGGTGGATTGACAGGGGGACTGCTGCAGTGGGCTCTTAAAGTCTGAGGATTGCTCAGGATAGAACAGGGTTCAGATCTTTTGTTTATAGGGTCTCTCTGAGTTGTACTTAACTCGATGACACCTAGTAACAACAACATTAACAACACAGTCGAAAGCACAGGAATAATTTACACAGAAAATTATTCTTGGAGGTTTAGTAAGCATGAAAATGGAGGGAGAGAAGAATAAAACTGGGTAAGTTGGGTGGGGGTAATAAACAATAAGGAATTGATTAGATACTATTACTAGTAGTGAATGATAATGTTATGAAACAATATCTCAATGATTGTATGACACACCAGCTTGACTTATAAACCTTTACTCAAATATAATCAAAAGATTTTTTTTAAAAAAATCCTGCAGGATATAATCAGTATTTCATTCAGAGAGCTGTACAGTCTCATATTTTATAGAAAATGTAATTATAAAAAAAGTGAACGAAGGTAAGCAAATAAAATACATTTAGTAGATGAGTCATTAAAAGGAGACAAATACATGGGATCCATAGGAAGGTGTAACCCTGGAACAGCAAAGAGTGAAATGTACATTAATCTCACTGATATGTATTTTTTAGGACAGTAAATAGTAATAGTTAAACATTGCCCTATCTCTCAACATAGTTCACTGTACTGACACCTGAAATCGGTAAGATGATCATACCAGTAGATACAGAAATGATACTTGTTTTTAATAAAATCTTAGTAAAATAATACCAGAATTTTCTTAACTTGGTAAGAGTGCATATATAAGAAAGATACTTAGAGCATTAAGATTGTCAGCTTTTAACTTTTAAAGTAAACAACGTTGGAAAGGAGGAGAATAGATTATCAGCATGTCAGGATAATTGCTCTTCAAACTACAAAGATGCCAACAACTTTCAAGACTAATAAGAATACATCAGATGTAAGTCATAGATAGACAAACTGAAAATTATATTTACCAACACTGTATATAAACACACTGGATTAACAAATGATTTCTTTGAATTTTGACTGAGATTTGTTATAAATATATCTAATGAAATCACTTTTTAAAATAA